AGATAGTTGGCATTTATCTTTAAAATCCATCGAATGCGATATGGGTAACGTTCAAAGATTAAATTTTTTATTTTTTGCCAATTTTGTTTGAAGCGTAATTTCTCTATACATAGACATTTAATTTTAACACAAAATATATTATATGATAGCCCTAGTTTAGGGGAATCTAATAAAAAAAAAGCTGATTGAAGTGACTTAGGTGAGTTTTGTTCATCAAGATTCATTAAAGAATTTCAGATGCAAAAACCTATACATGTATTTTTTTTTTAAATAAAAAAATTATTTATGATTAGTAAATCAATGTTTCAAATCAATTTAACATCAAATAGCACTTACTAATTTTCATTCAATTGTATTTGCATTATATTACAGCAAGTGAGTATTTATATTCATTGTTATTAAATAAATGTTTCAAATAAATTAACATCAAATACAAATAACACTTTTTAATTAATCATCATTAAATAAATTCATATTTCATTGCAGGGAGTAAGTATTTGAAATTTCGAATGTTTTAAATCAATTTAACTTCAAAATAACACTTACATATTATATAAATGATAATTCAATTGTATTAATATTATATATCAGAGAGTGAGTATTTATACTTATGATTATTAAATCAATGTTTCAACATCAAATAACACTTTCATTCAATTAAATTCATATTCTATTGCAGGGAGTGAGTATTTATATTTGTGATTATTAATACAATGTTTAACACTTTCTGATTACCTAATTATCATTCAATTGAATTCACATTATATTACAGTGTGTATTTATATTCATGGTTATTAAATTCAGCATTTTTGATTATTTTAACACCAAATAAAACTTTCTAATTATCACCCTTTTTTAAATTAGTGCGGTCGGTCATTGGCCTAAATTATTTGTATTTGAATACAAATACTGATCTCACGTTATGAAATTATATCTTTTTAGTCAATAAATTAATAAAAATTTGTTGTTTTAAATTTTCTCCTTGTTTTAATATAAATAATAAATTAGTTTGGAGTTTTTTAGGAAAAGCACTCATTTTTGGGAAAAAAGAATGATCTCGTTTGTTAATTTTTTTTGAAAAAAAAAATAAAATCAATTTGTATTTTCACTATTGGGTAAACAAAAGAAATGCCATTTTATTTTTATTTTTCACATTTGAATTTTTTTGATTTAAAGGGTCCTTAAACAATCCTAAAAGTTATGAGACACTTTGCGGTATGATCAATTTGTTCCTTTGATGATCACAATTTCGTTTCTGAAAAAAACAAGCATTAAAACAATTATTTCAATTGTTCATTTAGTTATTTGTCACTTTCCTCATTTTATTTTATATAAAGTCATAAATTGTTATATATTTGATTAAGTATTATATACCAATAATTGAATTTGATGAAATAAATGATGTTTTTCATTTTCATGTTGGAATTTTTAGTATTGTAACAAAGTAAATTGGTAGGCATGCGAATTATCATGGGAAATAATAAATAATAACACTAAGATGATTGTACGAGGATAATAACTTGTGTTGTCATCTGAAAGATAACGTACCAGTATGAAGGATGAAGGGTCGAATACAAAAGATATGCCATACTGAAAAAGAGTTACGATTTTAGCTGATTTATAATATACACTCCCCTAGCAAAAGTATTTGTGGATGATAAAATTCGAAAATAATTGCTAAAATTAAAATGCCAATTGTGGCACAATGAGTGGTCTAAATTGTACAAACTTTTTTTATTAGATTCCTCTAAACTAGGACTATCTTATGATATATTTTGTGATAAAATTGAACAACTATACATAAAGACAAAAAATAATAAATTTATTCTTAGATCGTTACCTATACTGCATTCGATGGGTATTAAAAATAGATGCCAACTATTTTATATGAAATTGTAACCAGAAATAATATATACAAATTTAATTATTGACCTTTTTCTCGATACCTAATAAAAATTTTGACTTCACTTAGACGTGAATAAAAACGACCAAAATTTAATAAAATTTTTAAAAAATAAAAAAAATTCGAAAATAATTATATCGATCGTTTATACCTGAAAAACTTGATTATTTCTTAACTTAGCGATAAATGTGGTATTAAGTCACCTTAAAGCCTGAAATATGGAGCATCTTTATAAAAATTTCATCCTTATATATTGAGAATTTAGAGAACAATACATGATTAAACTTTAGAGTATAATTTTGAAATGTCCGATATTCAACCGTTAATATTAAACTCAATTCTCAATTTAAAAATCTGAAATTTTCACGGTTGATACTCCACATTTTAAACTTTAACTGTAATTAGTACCATCTTTATTGTTATATTAATAGATAAAGAAGTTTTTATATATGCTTCCATTGGAAATTATTTTTCGATTTTTTTAAAAATGATCGACACGGATTTAAAAAATTAGAAAAATTTCTTTAAAATTCAAACAATCATTATATTTTCAATTTTTGTTAAAAAATTTAAAACTTTTACAGCAGATGTATTCAATTTTTATCTTTAATGTTACTTAGTTTAATTTTTACTATTTTATTATTAAAAACAAAAGTTTTGTAATTACTTTCGAATTTTTAATGTAGTAAAAATTAAAAAAAAAAATCCGAAAAATAAATACCAATCGGAACCATACTTTATCTATTAATATAACAATTAAAATGGTACTAATTACAGTTAAAGTTTCAAATATGGAGTATTTACTGTGAAAATTTCAGATTTTTAAATTGAGAATTGAGTTTAATATTAACAGTTGCATATCGGACATTTCAAAATTATACTATAAAGTTTAATCATGTATTGTTCTCTCAATTCTCAATATATAAGGCTGAAAATTTTTACAAAAGATGCTCCATATTTCTGGCTTTAAGTTGACTTAATACCACATTTATTGTTAAGTTAATAAATAATCAAGTTTTCAGGTATAAGCTTAATTTCGATTTTTTTTTTTATTTTTTAAAATTTTTTTTTAAATTTTGGTCATTTTTATTCACGTCTAATTGAAGTCAAAATTTTTATTAGTTATCGAGAAAAACTTCAATAATTAAAGTTATAGATATTATTTCTGGTTACAATTTCATATAATATAGTTGGTATCTATCTTTAATATCCATCGAATGCGGTATAGGTAACTATCTAAGAATAAATTTATTATTTTTGTTAGTTTCATTTGAAGCGTAATATCTGTATGTATAGATGTTCAATTTTATCACAAAATATATCATAAGATAGATAAAAAAAAGTTTGTGCAATTTAAATCACTCATTGTACCACAATTAGCATTTCGAATTTTATTATTCCACAAATACTTTTGCTAGGGGAGTGTAATGTGATACAATTATTTTTTTAAAAAAAAAGATTTCTCTTTATTTCTTGACTAAAAAAAATGGCAACTAAAATTCCCACAGAAATATTAATTAAAATTTTAAATAATGTTCAATCATCTCATTCAACTCAAGATTTATATTCGTCATTATTAGTTAATCGAATCTGGTGTAAAATTACTATACCTATACTTTGGGAATTAACTTTGGGTCAGGAATGTTGTATGGATGATGAGGAGTTGAGTAAGAAAGCATTATGTATTCGAACTTATATATCATGTATGGATACTCGAGCTAAAACTTTACTTACTCAAAATGGATTTGATTTATCATCATCATTACCTCAAGCAACTTTTGATTATCCATCATTCACTCATAAAATTATAATTGATAATTTAGTTTATTTCGTATCCATATATTCACAACAAATTATTGGTTCAGATCAAGATAATTACATCATTACCAAATCCCGTATATTATTTCGTGAGATATGTAAATTAATAATAAATCGTTGTAAATTTTTGGATTCTTTTAAAATGGCAGGAGTTCCCAAATTTTCTTATAATGTTTTAAATCATAGTGACTTAATTGGTTCAATACTCAAGTTACCTAGTGCTCCGAAAGTATTTAAGAAATTAGAAAGCTTTACCTCGATGATAGAAGATCATGAATCGATTTATCCATTGTATAAATCATTAGCATTAATTTGTGATAATATTTTAAATATTGATTTGAAATTTAATACACCCTATCAAATACGATTATTAGCAAGACTTATTAGTGTTCAAAAACGGTTAGAAAATCTATCAGTTGTTACTTTTAGTAATCAAGATTATGATTCATTATTATGGGCTATCATTAGTCAAAAAGAAACATTAAAGATTCTTCGTTTAAAATTAGTAAGTTATTGTCAGTTTGAGCAGAAATCATCACCAATTGGACAATTCACTTCACTTCAAGAGCTTTATATTGAAGGTAGTCATAGTTTTCATGATTCGGATTGTTTATATTTGACTTCATCATTTACTAAATTAAGCAGTTTTCATTATTTTCGTTCAGTTTATCCATATACTAGGTATCCTCAAGAATTTATTATAAAGATTCTTGAAACGGCCAATAACAATTTAAAAAATATTTATCTTGATATATATCCCACGATTACATCTGATATATTTTCAACAATTTTAAATTATTGTATAAAGATTACTAAATTAACTTTACGTAATTTAAGTCATGAACAAGTGATAGCAATATTTAATAATAATTTTAATGAATTAAGAAGATTTTCATTTGATTGCGGAGGAGAAAAAGAATTTGATGCTAATAAATTATTGTGCAAAATGGCTGAAAATATACCAGAATCACTTGAAACTATTGAAATTAGAATGATTTATGGCGCGCCATGGATATTTAGTGCTGATAGTTTAAGAAAACTTTTTGAAGGATGGTGTTGTAAAGGAGGAAGAAATAAAAAGGTGATTATTAAACGTACAGAACAAACGCCTCTATTTATATTAAGTGATGAACATTCTAAAGTTATTGAAGAATATGGAGTTCAATTTGATTTCAAATTATATTAAAAATAATATTCCAAATAAATTTCAAATAATATAATAAACAAATCAGAAAATATGTTTGTAGAATTATTTATTATTTTTTTTTCAAATATTTTAATATCTCATATGCTAAAAATCAATGGTATATGAAATTTATGCAATTTTAGATGATAATTTTATTAACGAACAAATTTATTAAATAATAAGCTTGGTATGTTTTATATGATTTTATTATTTTGTAGGTTAAATTTTTATGTTTATTAAAATGTCATTGATTTTATCGTTAAAGTTAATGTAAAAAATAATGGCTTAGTCAATTTACTTTTAAAATAATAAAGTATTTGCTTAATATTTAGATAATCATCAGAACAACAGAAATTAAGTTATTATAGAATAGCAGTATCAATCAATACTAGTTGATGCTAGTGAAAATTATAAAGTCACACCCTTGTTGCTAAAGTGCTTCAGTGAAGTGTTTCGTTGATAGCTGCTGCGTTGTCATAATTAATTTTGATTAATAGAATAAACCGCTATTCATTATACAATAATTTTTATTATTTTATTTAGAATGATATAAGAATAAGTTATAAAAAAAACCCGTGATGTACATACACAATTCCGGGCTTCTTTTCATAATTGATTTCATTTTTTCCCAACAATTATTTTTATTTATGCTTTGTTTATAAGTTTAATAAATAGATTGTCTTAATTATATCATCAAAGTTTTCGATGGTTGATGTGTACAAGATGTAATAATAAGAGTATTCGAAATATTGGCTAATAAAGGATTTGTTTTATAATATTTTTTAAATTTATCAAATAATACCGGTGTTGGCATCGTTGATTTTGCTAATTCTTTTGAACCTTCTTAACATATTCTTTGTCAGTGTAAGAATGTAATGATTATATTTTTATAAATATTATCTTTGAATTCATCGGTTATGAAAATCAATTAACTTTTGTTATTATAAATGTATAACAAATTTATAAATAATTTTTTTTGTCTACTCGTCCGTTACACAGCCTTCTGTAGGTGTCTTAACATTTTTAATGTATTTATATAATGTTCCTTTTGTTGCCTTATATGGTGGAGCTTTCCAATTATTTCTTCGAGTTAAAAGTTCTTCTTCACTAATGTCTAGATTGATACATTTATTCTCCGTATCTATTGAAATCTTATCACCATCACGTACTAACGCAATTGGTCCACCAAGTTGTGCTTCAGGTGTTATATGTCCAATTATAAATCCCTAAAACAATAAATATTGATATTGTCAAGTTAAAACGATCGTAAGAAATAAACAATTTCATTTTTATTACTCACATGACTCCCACCAGAAAATCTTCCGTCAGTTAACAAAGCGACATCTTTCCCAAGTCCTGCCCCCATAATTGCGCTTGTTGGGGTTACTATAAAATGATTACAATTTTTTATATGTATTATATTATTTTTAATATTTTTGTATTATTAATTCAGACGAAAAAAATAAATAAATAAAAAATAAAATATAAAAATTTGACTTACGCATTTCAGGCATTCCCGGACCACCTTTAGGCCCTTCATAACGAATAATAATAACTTGTCCTTTTTTAATTTTACCTTGTTCAAATGCTTTTAACATTTCTTGCTCTCCATCAAAAACTTTTGCAACTCCCGAAAATGAAAAACCTTCTTTCCCCGTGATTTTTGCTACAGATCCTTCAGGAGCTAAGTTGCCTCTTAAGATTTGAATGTGTCCGGTTTCTTTAATGGGTTTTGATAATGGATGAATCACATCTTGAGTTTCAAATGATAATTTTGGAACAGATTCTAAATTTTCAGCTAAAGTTTTTCCTGTTACCGTTAAAATATCTCCGTGAATTAAATTATTTTCTAGAAGATATTTTAGAACAGCTAAAAAAAATAATTAAAATAATTGATAACCATTTATAAAAGATGCTTCGTTAAAAAAAATTAAAAATTCTTACCTGGTATACCCCCAATTTTATGTAAATCTTCCATTACATACTTGCCACTATTAAATTTATAAATTAATTTATAAATTTTAATATTTATTATATAATAAGGAACCACAACACGAGAAATACAACGGCTTATTATACCTAGGTTTCAAATCTGCCAAAAATGGTATCTTATCACTAATTGTTTGAAAATCATCTATCGTCAAAGAAATTCCCACTGATTTTGCAATAGCAATTAAATGCAAAACAGCATTGGTAGATCCTCCCAGTATCATTGTGAGTATCATCGAATTTTCAAAAGCTTTTCTTGTCATAATATCGGATGGTTTTATATCTTTTTCTAAGAGATTTCGTATAGCAAAACCTGCGTTAAAACATTCTTCAAGTTTCTCGGGATATTCTGCTGGAGTTGATGAACTATAGGGAAGAGTCATTCCCATTGCTTCAATTGCAGAAGCCACTATTAGGAAAGGATTTTGTAAATATATTAATAAATGTCAAAAATAAATAAAATAAAATAAAAAAATATTTATATAAAATAACAAAAAAAAAAAAACTTTATTTAACATTAACTTGTATTAGCTGTGTACATTCCACCACATGCACCAGCTCCCGGACATGAATTTTTCACAATATCTAATCTTTGTTCTTCATTAATTGCACCGGCAATATAAGACCCATAAGATTGGAATGCAGAAACAACATCTAAAGAACCTTGACCACAACGTGATTGACCAGGACGAATTGTTCCGCCATAAACCATAAGAGATGGACGATTAAGACGTCCCATTGCGATCAAACATCCAGGCATATTTTTATCACAACCTGGGAGTGAAATATTGGCATCATACCATTGTCCACCCATCACCTATTATTATAAATATATAAAATATACCAAATGTATAACATATAACAATATTTAAAAAATATTCAAAATAAAATTATTATTTACATACTGTTTCGATTGAATCTGCAATTAAATCTCTACTTTGAAGAGAGAAGCACATTCCTCTTGTACCCATGCTAATACCATCACTTACACCCACGGTATTAAATCTATAACCGATCATTCCAGCTTCAACCACTCCTTCTTTAACTTTTGATGCTAGATCAAGAAGATGCATATTACATGGATTGCCTTCATACCATCTAAATATTAAATATTAATAATAAATATTAATAATAAATATATTAAAAAAAATGTTAATAATAAATATTAAAAATAATAAATAAAAATAAGTAGTAGTAATAATAAATATTAATAATAAAATATAATAATATAATATTAATTAGGAATTAATTAGAAAATAATATATTCGGTTCGATCAACACATACACACTCGCTATACCAACTTGAGCTTTACTCATGTCTTCAGGTTTTAACCCTGTTCCATATACTTTTTAATATCAACAGATAAATTAAAATTAATAAATTTAATTAATAAAATTAATAAATTAAATTAATAAAATTAAAATGAATGAAAAATTAATAAGATAATTGGTACTCACACATAGCTTGAGAAGCACCTTGGGATTTAGGTTGAGTGATATGTTTACTATACTTATTTATTTCTACATTTTTGGACGAAGAATTATATCGTAATTGTTGTCTAGCTATCTTGTGTCTATTTTTATTTTTATTTTTATTTCAATTTTTTTAATTTTTTTTTTTATTTGAAAAAATTAGTTTAGTAATAAAATTTTTTTTAAAAGAGAGAGTTATTAAATATATAATGTGAACATTTGAACTTGTCCTATGAGTTTACTTGCTGCGTTGGATTTTCTTGTAAAATGGGACATTACGGATACGGATCACGAATTAATTAATTTATTTATTTCTTATTTTCGAAATTTTTTTTTAAACACGATTGATAATCTTTTGTAACACGCAAGAAATCTTTCTACGTACTTCAGTACTTCATGTTGTATTATGGTATACGAAGATTCTTTTCTTTGTTTATTTTTTATCATGTGATTCAATAATATTTTAGCTGTAAAATTCAATGAAAAAATAGAAAATTTATCAAGTAAATTCGGGCGTTTTTAAGGAAAAAAATATAGTTATAAGCATATTATCGAAGAAATAATGCTAATGTAATAAGTAGCTTATAAAATAAAATATAATTCGTGAATCTTTCACTAATATCTTAAGTACCAATTCTTCTTATTTAAATAATTAAATAATTTATAAAAAATAAAATAAAATAATAAAATGTTATTCATAATTAGAATATTTTTAAAATATTAATTTGATTTCAATGATTTCTTCGTTGTAATTCATCTAGAAAATTTTTTTGGAATATGCACTTGAATTAACATCTGGATTACCATTTATTTGATTAGAACTATAGTGCGCTAACTCTTAACCCGACAAAATTTTAAAATATATCTACTTCTGGAAAAATATATTATTTAAAAAATAAACACTCCTGCATTCATTTCCTGTTCATTCATCCATTTGTTTATTTCATTTATCCATCTGTAAAGTTCATTTATTCATTCGTTCATTTGTTTGTTCTTCTTTGTCTCTTTTTTTAAAAAAATCAATGTGGATCGTCAATATATAAATTTGACCTTTGTAATAGTATTGCAAAGTAAATTATAATATAGAAACTTATTCATCTTATTTTCACCATGATAATAATAACAACAATGACAATAAGATTTTTAAAATTTTTTACACTTCGCATAAATTTTAATACAAAAAAATTTTTTGCTCTTCGTACAAAATTTATTATAAAAAAATTTTTTTTTTGCGCTTCGCGCAAAATTTATTATATAAAGATCTACAACCAAAAATTGAAACATTTGTCAAGACGTAACGCACCGTATTTGAAAATTATTAAATATAGATAAATAGTTAAAATCAATATAAAATCATTTAATAACTGAAGTATATTTAAATTTTATACTTGATGGCCATTAAATCAAAGCGATTATTAGAGGGTAAATTTTCGTTTGAGAATTAATATAAACATAATGAACTATATCATTTAAAAATTAGAAAATTATTAAATACCCGATATTGTCGAACTAATAGATTCTAACATCGGATTTAATAATGTACTATAATATCTAGAATTGGGATGCTAATATCCCGGATTTTTTACAAATGGTTTTTTGGATTTGACCAATTCAATTCGTTTTTTTTCAGCTTTATTAAATTCTGACCAAATACTATTTGGATAATGTTTTTCGACAAAGTCTTCGGACAAAGATACTGCTTGTTTTATCGTTGGTCGTTGAGAAGGATCAGAACGCCAATATATTTTCATTAAATTAGCCCAAAATTCTGGTGTATCTTCAATAATTTCTGGTTGTTTTCCATCTAAAATATCTAATATAAGTTTTGGTCCATGTTCTTGATCATGAAATGGTCTATGTCCTGATGTCATTTGCCACACAATCAATAAATATATGATGCACATGAATACGGTTGACTTTTGAATAATTCTGGAAAATTATTATAACCATTTTTATCAAGAATATTGCTACTATGCAAATCTCGATGTAAAATTCTAGAATAATGAATTTTTTGAATTCCAACTATGCGAGATAAAAAACGCGTTTTTTTTTATCCATGTCATTTCTGCAAAGTTTTTATTTAAAAAATGATGCAAGTCTCCATATTCTGCATATTCTTAAACAAATGCGTAATTTTTAGTTGGAATTTGGGTTACTCCATAACATTGGATTGTATATTTCCACCACTGAACTGATATGTATATTCTAACTATATTATAAATAAAATATAATAAGTATAGATAAAAATTTCAACGAATTCTAATAAAAATAGTGCTACCTCTTTAATAAATTCTGCATCCACATTCCTGTGAATCAAAACAACTTCAGTTTTTTTCGTTTCAAAAGTTCCTCTAGCATCCACATACGTCTGTCTTTCCCAAGTTGATTTATGAATTTCGCTAAAACCTCCCTTCCCAATATATTCTATATTTGTAAATTTTTAATATGGAACCCATTCTAAAATGGATCATCATGTGATTTTTTAATGAAATCATCAATGTTTTTATTGCCACTGTTAACAATTAACGGTATCTGCTTCAGATCATAACGTCGTTTACATAAATGTAAACGATTAATATATTCACTTAAACATTTTATACATTTGATATTGGGTCCTTAAAATTTAAATTTTCTTGTTGCAGAAATGCCTTGATACTTAGACGTTCTGAAAATGGTTTAAAATAATGATCATCATCAATTTCCTTTAGAACTTTCGTTTCAAAAGTTCTTCTAAAATTTTACTAAAACCTCCCTTCTCAATATATTCTACATTTGTAAACTTTTTATATGGAGCCAATTCTAAAATGGATCATCATATTCTGGCGACTGTGATTTTTTAATGAAATCATCAGTGTTTTTATTGCCGCCGTTAACAATTAACGTCTTATACATTTTATTCATTTGACATTGGATCCTTTAAATTTTCTTGTTGAAAAATGGATCCTGTGTTATATGGAAGTTCTGAAAGTGGTTTTTTAAAATCATCATCATCATCATCAATATCCACATTCTGGGAATCATTTAGGGCTTTCGTTTCAAAAGTTCCTCTATAAATTTCTCCCTTCCCAATATATTCTACATTTGTAAATTTTTTATATGGAACCAATTCTGACGACTGTGATTTTTAATGAAACCGATGTTTTTATTGCCCTTTGCCAAATGGACATCCATTTTATATGGAAATTCTGAAAGTGGTTTTTTAAAATCATCATCATCATCATCAATGTTTTTATTATTAGATCCTTCAAGTTTTCTTATTGTAAAATGGTCAGCCATTTTTTCAAATGCGAACAGGATCAAACTTATAAATAGATGATTCAAAAAAATTTTTTTATTTAGATAATAATATTGAGAAATTTTATTGTCATACAATTAATAATTTCCCATCGTCGTCGATCTTTGGTATATGTCGTCATGAACTACTATATAATAAAAAAGTTTTAAAACATGTTTATCTACTAAATATTATTCATTTCAAATAAAGAAAATTTGTATAAGAATCAATGGCGAACTTTCCAAGAAAAAGTTAATTCGGATATATCGAAATAATAAATATATAATAAATTATTTATCTGATTTGATAATAATATAATATTAACAATTAATTGTTACAATTAAGAATTCAGGGTCAGGGACGCTTTTTATTTAAATCATTAGTATAAAATTAATAATGATTGGAATGTTCTTTAATTCGAGAATTCTAAACATTCGAAATTTAATAAAAAAAAAAAAGCGATAAAAGAGTAATATAATTGAGATATTAGTCAGTACAGAATAAATTAAAATTCATTCTTTAAATTATTTTTGCTGCAAAAAATTTTTTTTTTTTTTTTTGAATAATCAAAAAAATTCATACAACACATTATTTCTCTTTTATTTGTTTATTTGTTTTTAAACGAATTACTGACGAATATAAACTAACAAAAGAAAAATACAAATCAAATAATAACGACGATAATACTAATAGAATCATTATATTTATTTTTTATTTCTATTTATATTTTTCATTTTATTACATTAGATCATATTTACAATTTTTTTTGATACCTTTTTAAGAATACATTATGTTCAGTCATGCAATGGCCAAATTTAGAAATTAAATAATAATATTCGAAAACAAAATTTCTCTATTCACAGTACATATTTGCCATATATATCTGATTAAATAAAAACTGGTACATAATAATAAAGAATAATATATTACTAAAGCTCATTATTTAAGTCCGTGAGAGATCGGCACTAAATTACTATAAATCATGTTTCAAATACAGATAAGTTAGATTTGACAAAAAAAATATCAATCAACTTGGCAGAAGTTATAGATTTAGACTTACATATATAAAATATAAACAGTAGTTCCGTTCTTTCACAAATCGATCACGACTCAATACGTTGTATGCTACAAAAATTTTTTGAATAAACAAAAAAAAATCATAAACACAAATTAAAATTAGAAGAATCTTGTTGCCCATTCAAACTTTTATTGTTTTTAAATATATGTGCATTCAAAATGACCAATACAAAATAACAAAAGAAAAATGACAAATAAATAATAACAACGATAACATAAAAATAACTAATCCCTACCTTATCGTCATCAAGTTAAAATTTGACAAATGAAATACTAATATACTTAAATGTTTTATTTGAAACATTATAAGATACAGAAAAATGATTTCTTTCTTTCTTCGATTCGGATTGGTTATATACGAAGAAACTAAAAAAATAAAAGGATAAAATAAAAAAACTAGACATGCAGGCGGCATTTTAAATAATAAATAGGTTATCATTCACAAATTTATCTTTTCTTCATTCTCATTTCTTTTTATTGGTAACAAACTATGAACAAAATTTCCTTTCTTCTGAAGATGGTCTTTCCAGTCAAGGTGAAGATTCATCTCGAAAAAAAAAGAAAAAACAGCAAAAGAACAAGCTATTTCTCCGCTTATGTCATATATTAAAGATTTAGAAAAAACTTACAAAGAAACTCAAAGCAACAAAAAATAATAGTAAAAACGTAAAGAAATCCTCTTTATCAGATTTAAGAAGTGAGTAAAATATTACGAGTAATATAAACAGATATATTAGAATGTTACTAATGATATAATTTATAGGACCATGATACAAAAAATACATGTCATGATCTTGTCGAAATCGAGACTACAAGGAAAATGCAATAATAGTAATTAAATTAAATATTTAACATTCTAAATTCTAAATTGTAAATATAGAATGGAAAACTAAATAATATAAAATGTAACATAGCCCATAAATATTAAACATTTTTCTTATTTAAACTCCTAATTAGAATACGTAATTTATAAAAACTTCGTTTAAAATAATCTATTTTATAAAAAAAAATGTAAATTATTAAAAAAAATAGTAAAAAATTTTATCATATAATAAATTCAAATTATTACTTTTTCGCAGTAATTTATCTAAAAAATGTTTTTTAGAATTTTCTTTGCCATCTGAATTTTTATTTATTTTATTAGAACTATTTAAAATTATTAAATATAGATAATTAGTTAAAATTATTAAAATAAATTAATAACTGAAGTATATTTAGATTTTAAAATTCATACTTAATATCCATTATATCAAAGCGATCATTAGAGAACAAATTATCATTAGAGGGTAAATTATCATTCGAGAGTTTATCTATACACAAGAAATTATTAATATAAATATAATGGACTATATCATTTAAAAAAATTATAAAATTATTAATTACCTGATACTGTTGAATTA